ACTCGGCGACAACGTAGGACAGCAGCAGCAACAACAAAACAAAGCCCAGCGAATGATGGAACAAACGGAAAAAGCCGCAGGACCAGTCGCAGGTCCCTTTTGGCCTCAGTGTTTGTTGCTTTTCAGCTTTTTTTTTTAGCTTTTCTTGCTTTCCTTTTCTCTGCTTTTTTTTTAGTTAGAGTTTGAGGCGTATGGGAAATTATTTTTACAATTTCAATGTCAACATGTTGGTGGAGGCCCCCCAAGCACGCGCCAAGGACGATGAGAGAGAGAGAAGGCAAGGGGTTGTTGAAGTTAACTAAAAATACGTATGCGCAGCTAACGACAGCATATTACGTATACGCAGAGCTTGAATTTAACTCGCACACACAAAAAAAAAATACGTATACGCCGCGTGACCAGCTGGAGAAGTTACGTATACGCCACCGAAACAGAAACAAAATGGAATCGGAATGCCAAGGGGAAACGGAAACTGACTGAGGCGTGGCCTTAGTGGCACAAACTTAAATTAAAACAAGCGAAAGGCAAACAAATTTGAAAAGGAAAAAAAGAAATACAAAAAAAAATGCAAATAGAAAGTTGCCACAAAATGATTTGCCAGGATGAGAAGGAGGAGCAAAAGCTTGAAGAGGAGGCGGCGACGGCGGCTATGGCCCAGGGGAGCCAGAAGAGAGACCATGTCAGTGGCGCATTAAAAAATCATTTTCAATAACGCGCTCCACTGCCATCCTGCCTGGCATCCTGACTGCTGCTGGTGGTGGTGGTGGCTCCTCTCTCGCAACTCAATTGTTTGCATTTTGCATGCATTGACAGACAGAGCACACACGGGACCCCGCCGAGTTGCCTCCAGGAGGAGCTGCCCCTCCATCCTTCCGGACACAGATGTTATGCGGATGTTAGGCGCTGTCAAGCCAAGCACTCACTTGCCACGCCTTGCCTTTCACCTTGATCGCTTTGCCTTTCTTTCTTTTTCAGACTTTATAGGAGTATAGCTTAGCAAATTGGATAAACCAAAAGCCTGTTAAATACCTGTATATATACAAATCATTGTCTGGCAAATGGGATAAAATAACTAGCAATTTCCCCGAGTTTAAATTAACAATATAACTTTCACTCGCAGCCTATTAGCAACAATTTGTACAGCAAGCCAAGCCAATTACAATGCTATAAATACTATATATAAAGCTGGATATACATATAGTTGGTAATTCAGTTTCAACTTTTCAAACAACAAAACCAAACAAACAAACAAACAAAAAAATCGCTATAAATCCCACATCCCCCCGAGGTAGGCCATAACTTTGCGAGAGCAAGCATTTAGCCAAGCGGAATGAATCCGAAAGGATAATGCTAACGATAACGATGGGCGATAACGATAACAATAAAAAGGGAAGAGCAGAAGGAAGAAAAAAACAAGAAAGAAAGCTGGCTTAGGAAAACCAAAGCTGGTACACCCTAGCAGTAATTGGAATAATGAATGGATTTTATTTATAATCGATCAAAAATATAAAATTGATGATGAAGAAGAAAGAGAGGAGAGGCCTTCAGACTGTTCGTTCAACAACCGAATCGATTTAGCTGGGTTACCACTCAGAAGATCCTATAACTAGTTGGGAATTATAGTATTACATTAAGGAAGTATATTTGTTTTAGTAATTTTTTTCAATTATTATTTTTTTTTTTTAAATTTTATTATAAATATTTTATTACTTTTTCTTTTAATTTTTTTAATTTTTTGTATGATGATTTTTATATATTTTTGTATTATTATTTTTATTAAAGTTTTTTTATTATACTTTTTTTTATTACTTATTTTTTATTACTTATTTTTTATTATTAATTTTTTTTGTATTTATATTTTATTATATATTTTTAATTATTTATTTATTTATTTTTAATTATTTATTTATTTATTTATTTATTTTTAATCATTTATTTATTTATTTTTCATTATTTATTTATTTTTCATTATTTATTTTTTTTTTTTTTTAATTATTTATTTATCTTTAATTATTTATTTTGTATTTATAATTATTTATTTATTTATTTTGAACTATTTACTTATTATTAATTAATATGATTTATAAGTTCGCAAATAATATTTTCACTGGTTTCCAAACATCTGACTAAAATGATAATATCCTTGCAAGGGTATAAACAAGAGAGGAATAGCGGTAAAGGACATTCCGCTCTGTTATTCCGCCATTAATGTTCGCGTATTGAGAGCCATCTAATTGCATTTGCTCAAGGATACTCATGAAGCGTGTGGATAGCAACAATAGAAGCGTGTCCTGAGAGTGCGTATGTGTGTGTGTGTGTGGCGAACAATGGCTAAATGTCAAGTTTAATTGTTTGTCTGTCATTAGAGCACACTCACACACAAACACACACATGCGCGAGAGGGGGTGCAGCGATGCATGGGATTCTCTTTTTTATTTTCTCTGCTAATTTCATACAATTAAATTTTTGCTCCATGGCCGAAACAAAGGAATCAAATGCTGTGCTACAATAACTTGGGGCCCCGCGTCGCGTCGCGCGTATTTGCGGCAAACTCTCTCAAGCGAGCCACTTAAACAGCCTCACGCTCGGTTGAATATGTTTTGATTAAGCCAAGTATAACGAACACATTTCAGCCAGGACTTCAGGCAGGCAGGCAGGCAGGCTGCCAGAGAGGCATATGGCCCCGCCCGCCCGCTCTGGGTGAGTCTCACTTTCCGAGTGCCAAGTGGAAAGTGGCAAGTAGCAAGTGGCGAGTACAGCGGGAATACACACTCCTCCTCCTACCCCCCAAGCTGGGTGCACGTTTATATACTCCAACGGACTCTGGTCAGGCACTGGGCCGTGTGAATGACATGACGTCCTCGTCCTCGTCGTCGTCGTCGTCGTCGTCCCTCCAGAGTTTCTTTATTTTTAAAGCCATGTTGTGTGTGTTGCGTGGGCGGCCTATACACGTAGGATATATATTTATAAATATTCACCCAGCAGACAAAAAAGTGGAAAAATGTCCGCTAAAGATATTAAATACGAAAAAAAGAAGCGGACTTTCCGCTTTAGTTTCGCTAAATGCTCAAAAACGTACGCGCAGGCGGACGAAAAGCGGACGAGTATTGGAAATTATCAGGTTTAAACCTGCTAATGAGATGTCGTATAAGGTCAAAACTTAAAATAATGACTAACTTTAATATTGTTCCTAAATCGGACGTCCGCAAAACTATCGTTTTCAATATCATAGATTAAGTTTTTGTCTACTGGGTTATATATATATATATATATATACTGGAATGTTTGTGCTGAGCTGTTATCCTGCGGAGGTGCCATGGTGCCGTCGTATGCGGTTTATTTCAAGTCGCTGGCACGCACGCAAAACTCCCACGAAAACGACCAAACGAAACGAAAACATAACCCAGGGGGCAAGAGATCAACCGGGGGGGTTAAAAAGGTGGTGTTTATGGGGGGTATTTTGGGAGGTTTTTTTGGATGAATTATTGCAACGAAAAAGGACATTTTCTGTGTAAAATTCCAAAAAGATTATTGATTTCAATTAAAAAGTAAATCATACAAGTCCCATCTTGACCTAGAAACCCTCCTTAATTGTTTTCCAACCACATTTCATTTTCTACCAGCAAGGACTTGGGTCCTGCTACTCACTACTGTTGTCCTGTCAATGGCTGTAAGTCCCAAGACCAGTCTCAGTCTCAGGTCCTGGTGTGTGTGTGCTATTATGGGCTTATACACAGGCAGCATATGAAATGACCACAGCAGGTCCTGCTTTTCTTACTAGGGGGCGAAATGGAATGGAGGCGGTATCCTTTGGGGTTTCGGTTTTCAGTTTGACTTGACATGCATCAGCATCATTATTTTGTGCTTTTAATGTTTTATTTAGCCCGGTTTGCCGACAGCAATACGCAAACGGGGTGGTGCCTTCTGTCTGACCGACCGCCTACGTGCCTACGGTTTTGCGCTCATTTTCTGAGGCAGTGAGGCAGAGAGGAGGTAGGAGTGTGCCACCCCCTCTACTTTTCCACCCTCTGCTTTGAACCACACATGTGTGTGGATGTGGATGTGTGTGTGTGCCATGAGAGTGTTCGCCATTTGCAACGAAGCACTCAAACAACATTTAAAAAGGCCTCATTTTCATGAGCTGTAGAGGAGAAGGAGGAGGAGGAGGAGTAGCTGGCCCCCGGGAGGAGCCTGCTTCTGTGTGCGTATGCCACTCGGCACATAATTGTTTGAAACAAATGTAGTGCACACACACACACACACACACATACTGCACCCACTGGCATACACATACACACAGACATGCGGGGATATTTTATTAGGCCATTCAGTTAGTCAGTCATTTAGTCAGTCAATCAAACTGGGCAGGCAATTAAAGTTTCACTGCCCCCATCAGGAGCAGCAGGAGCAACAAGGATAACAACAACAACAACAAAAGGAACAACAGGACCAACAAGACCAACAAGCACATTGCCAACAATGAAAGCAACTGGCTAAAAAGAGGCAAATAAACACATCAAATGGCCTGGCAAACACAACCAACAGGCAATGGTTTTCCAAAAAGGGTTTTAGTAGTATGGTTTTATATGTGTGTTTTACATATATAAAGGATATAGCAGCAGCTATCCTGAATCCTTTCAGATAAATGAAATTTCACCAGAAATGAGTAAAAGAGAGAGTAAAGAGCAGTTAGAGCTTGATTAATAATGTATTGAAAGGCATAGAAAGGGATTTTAAAATCATTTTCATGTATTAAATAAATTTATATATGAGAAGTGGGAGCTGGTTTAAGTTTTCTAAACCAATTTTAGGGGTTAAATTAATGAATATTTCAGCAGAAATCCAAAAACTATCCCAATTTTAAATTTAAAATATTTTTGTTAAAAGCCTCGTCCAATTTCCTTACTTTTTCTACATGTAAAACCCTTTCTTACATTAAAATTACCATTTAAAATGCCATTTTTTGTAACTCTCTACCATTTTTTCTACTCTTCTTACAGGCCTATCCCAGCCGAGATATAACCAATATTGTGGAATCATCGCACTACCAGAAGATTGGTGGCTGGTGCCGTCAGGGTGCCTTGAATGCGGCCAAATGCAAGGGCTCACATCGCTGGATCAAGCCTTTCCGCTGTCTGGGTGAGTGCCTGGCCATCAACTTACAACCCAAATCCAACTAATCACTGATCCAATCTCTCTTTTTCTATATATATCTATAATATGTTACCCCCATCTTCTCTTCACAATGACGTTTGGCTTCAGAAGGACCATTCCAATCGGATGCCCTGCTGGTTCCAGAGGGCTGTCTCTTCGATCACATCCACAATGCCTCCCGCTGCTGGCCATTTGTGAGGTGGAACCAGACCGGAGCAGCCGCTTGCCAGGAGCGAGGCATGCAGATGCGTAGCTTTGCCATGCTTTTGCCCTGTGGAATCTCTGTATTCTCGGGCGTGGAGTTTGTCTGCTGCCCCAAGCATTTTAAGAGTGAGTGAACCAAGGAATAACCTTACTAAAAATATGGCTTAAATTTAAAATATTTTATATTTTTTATATAAATTAAAGAAGCAATCAAAAATATTTTCTATATTAATTAAAGAAGCCTAAACTTATATATTTTTTTTAAATAAATTAAATTCATTTTAAATTATATTTTTTATATAAATTTAAGAAGCTTTAAAAATATATGTTTTTAAATAAATTAATTAAGCTTTATATTTTTTATAATAATATAAAATAATATTATATTTTCTTTAAAAATTAAAGAAGCTTTAAATTATATTTTCTGAATAATAAATATTCTATAAAAAATATTCTATAAAAAATATTCTATAAAAAAAATCTATGAAAAATATTCTATATTTATAAAGAAATTATTCTATATAAATTAAAGAAGCTTTATATATTTTCTATATAATTAAATAAGATTCTTTTATTTTCTTTATATAAATTAAAGAAATTTTAAATTTTATTTTCTATATAAACCTTAACAGCTTCAATTTATATTTTCTATATAAATAAAATCATCTTTAAATTATATATTTTCTACATAAATTATACCCTGTTTTATGCTCCCTTGTAAGCCATATTTTTGTTGCCCTCAAATATCCCTGTTTAGTTTGAAAAACAATAATTTTTATGCCACAAAAATATGTTATTCAGCTGACGTTTACATTTCCCTTTTTCCTTTTTCTTTTCCCCCCTTGAATTGGTATACAATTTCCCTGGCATGTATGTTACACACATTTCTTTTTTTTCACCCAGTTTTGTATTGTTTTTTTTGGGGGGAGAAAGAGTTGGGCCATTAGTTGCTTTGGCGTTCAATCTGTGGTTATAGAATTAATTATTTAAACCGAAAATCGAATGCACAAAACTAACAAATGTGCCATTACCCACCCTATGCGATTATCAGTTGTAAATTATTTAAACAGTTTCGAGAATTATTTATGCAAGAACTCTTAACAATTGAAGGATTAAAGTTTTAGTTTTATTAGGAGGAACCTTATCAAGAACCTTGTTAAAACTAATAATAATCTCTTTTTTTAGCCGATGAAATCCATGTGAAAAAGACCGACTTGCCTGTAATGCCACCGGCACAGATTAGCAGTGCCAACAACGATGAACTGGTGGCCAATGACGAGGATGACAGCAATGACTCGAATTACTCAAAGGATGCCAACGATGAGGAGCTGGACGATGAGGATGATCTAATGGGCGACGATGAGGAGGACGAAATGGTGGCCGACGAGGCGGCTGCGGCTGGTGGTAGTCCCAGTGCCGGATCTGGATCTTCGGGAGATGCCAACAGTGGCTCCTTGGATGACATAAATACGGAATACGATAGCGGCGAGGAGGGTGACAACTACGAGGAGGATGGTGGAGCCGGTTCTGAGGCTGAAACCGAGGGAGATTCATGGGATCAGAGTGGTGGAGCCCAGAAGGCCCAGAAAGGTCTAGGTGGTGCCTCGTCTGCTTCCCTGGCCTCGTCATCCTTATCCTCATCCTCGTCCCCATCATCCCCGTCTTCGGTTTCTGACAAAACACCCACCCAGAAGTCCGACCTGGTGACCAGCACCCCACAGCTCTCGGTGGCCGCTGCTGCAGCTGCCAATGCCAATGGAGGATCTTCTGGCTCAGGATCGGGTTCGGGACAGGGAGCACCGCCTCCATCGACGGCACAACCCACTTCGGACCCATATTTCACCCACTTTGATCCACACTACGAGCACCAGAGCTACAAAGTAAGTCAGAAAGTAAGTGTTTACGTTGAGGGCGCAGGTTTATTTATCGATGCAACACAAAACGTATTCTAAACAAAGGAAGCCCAACAGCGCCTTGAGGAATCGCATCGCGAGAAGGTCACGCGGGTGATGAAGGACTGGTCGGATCTGGAGGAGAAGTACCAGGATATGCGTCTGGCCGATCCCAAGGCGGCCCAATCGTTCAAGCAGCGGATGACGGCCCGCTTCCAGGTCAGTCATCCATCCATCTATCCATCCATCCGTGTGACGCACTCAATCTCTCCACCATAACCCTTCACTGTCACTGTCACTGTCTCTCTCTACCTCTACCTCTACTCTGTCTCTCTACTCTCATCACATCTCTCTCTCTCTCTCTCTCTGTCTCTCGCACTGAACCCCACTTCGACTCTGCCTGAAAGCACTAACCACCCCCTACTACCCTGAAACCCCAGCCCTTTCCACCTGTATCCACCACTGTATCTACCTGTATCTATCAGCTCTATGACTATGTAAACGCTATGTCTCTGCATCTGAATGTGTGTGTATGTCTGCGTCTGTATTGGGGGGCTTCACCTGGCAAAGGGGGGTATCAAACGATTAAACTATTGATAATTCAATTACAATAATATTGTTAATAAAATTACTAAACTTTTAAGAGTAATTAATAAATTAAAGATGTTAAATACGCACAAAGAATCAGATTCTCCGCATTAGTTTCGCTAAATGCTCAAAAACGGAGCCGCAAACGGACGAATAGCGAAAGAGCATCGCGAATTCTCAGGTTTAAACCCGCTACTGAAATGTTGTAAAGAAATTTTAAAATGAATAGTCATAAAGCTACCTAAACTATCACTGAAACCTAACTATAAATTATTTAAATAAATTAAGTAAATTGTAAAACATTGTTAAATATAAAATTATCTTTAATCTATACAAAATAATATCATAAATATAGGGTTACTCTTTTGCCAAGTGAAGCTACCCTTGTAATAGGCCTCATAACTAGTATTCAAGACATTTTGTAGTCTATATAAACCATATCATAATCGTTTATTATTTCCCTGTGTTGATTTTGTTACCATTTTTAAACCATTAACATGCACCCTGTATCGTAATCGTAATCGTTATCGTACTCGTACTCCTACTCGTAATCGTAATCTTAATCGTTTCCTACTCTAACCGTAAGCGTAGCTCATTGAGTCGTCTTTTTTCCGACATTAAGTTGTGCTCATTGTATTCGCCTGCTTTTCGTTTGCTGCCCCACGAAGTCCAGAAAAGCTGAGCTGTGTGCCTCAGTAACTCTGAATATCGCTGGGTAGTCTTTTTTGTTGAATTTTTTGTTGTGTATCCATATGTATGGCAAATGGGAGCGAAAGAGGCATCAGATTGTAATCATAACAGCAATAACAGTAACAATAACAATAACAATAACAATACCAGCTACAGTAACAGTAAGAGCAAAAGGCTGCTCAAAGTACGGCCACAGCAAGAACAGTAAAAAATATTAAAAACAATAGATCAAAACTACTATTCATATTACTAACATCCAAAGTGCTTTGTAGTTGAACTGATTGGCATCTAAACTAACTAATAATCAATACCTATATACCAGAACCCTGTACCTATACCTATATATATCCTTAGTTATCTCTTCATTTCGAAATCCTGCAAAACCCAATATCGATCCTTTCAACAGACCCAGACCCCGGATATCTCCCAGCCTCCCCACCCCGACTTTGATGTGTATTGCTCGCATTATAGTCCTGTAAATGCTGCTTTCGTATAACCGCTGAGCTTTTGCAATAAACTGCAAATGGAATGAACTGCATCCATGTATATATTCCATAAAAATAACCCCTTCAGATTCAGATCAAAGTCCCAAAGTCCCAAAGTCCCAAAAATACCCAGAGACCCTGAGAACCGACTAGGATCATTATAAATCCAATAAAAAAAACTTATGCACCGCATCAGTGGCTCGCACTATCTCTCTCTCTCTCTCTCGCTCTGTTTCTGCCTAGCTCATGGTAGCACCATCTCTGTAGCGGCACCAAAAAATCCCATCCCATCCCCATCCCCGCGAGAAGTCCAGCCCACTCCCACGACCTACTCTCTCTCCCCAAACATTTCAACCACAAACATTTCACGAGATATATACGTACGAATCAAAGTAATTTTTCGAAAAAATGTAACCATAAAAACAAACCAAAAACCGATAAACGATAAACGAACAAACCAAATTACCGATAGACCACCGATCGACAGTTGCATATTGTTATCGATCGACGCAAATTCCCCATGCTGATAATCTTTCTCTCTTGGTGTGCAATACGTCTTTATATGGGAATGTAATTTTAGACTTCTGTTCAGGCACTCGAGGAAGAAGGCAACGCCGAGAAGCACCAGCTGGCCGCCATGCACCAGCAGCGTGTCCTTGCCCACATCAATCAGCGGAAGCGGGAGGCCATGACGTGCTACACCCAGGCCCTAACCGAGCAGCCACCGAACGTGAGTAGAGTCGGTCTTCTCAAAAAAAAAATCGAAAAAGGAAAGATCCTTAGCCTCAGAGAGGACTTTGAGTCCACCCATTTTTTGATCCTTTTAGTTTTTTTTTTCCCAAAATTATACTGAAAACTATCCCGATTTAATATTAAATATTATATTAACCACCTTTAATCCCCCTTTAGGCCCACCACGTGGAGAAGTGCTTGCAGAAGCTGCTGCGCGCCTTGCACAAGGATCGTGCCCATGCCCTGGCCCATTATCGCCATCTGCTGAACTCCGGAGGACCTGGTGGCCTAGAGGCAGCTGCCTCGGAGCGACCACGCACCCTGGAGCGTCTGATTGACATTGATCGTGCTGTTAACCAATCCATGACCATGTTAAAGCGCTACCCCGAGCTATCGGCTAAGATTGCCCAGCTAATGAATGATTATATTTTGGCGTTGCGCAGCAAGGATGATATTCCCGGATCATCGCTGGGCATGAGCGAGGAGGCTGAGGCCGGCATTCTGGATAAGTATCGCATTGAAATCGAGCGCAAGGTGGCCGAGAAGGAGCGTCTTCGTCTTGCCGAGAAGCAGCGCAAGGAGCAGCGTGCCGCTGAGCGGGAGAAACTGCGCGAGGAGAAGCTGCGAATGGAGGCCAAGAAGGTGGACGATATGCTCAAGTCGCAGGCGGCCGAGCAGCAATCATCACAGCAGTCACAACAGCCCTCGTCCACTCAGTCGCAGGCGCAGCAGCAGCAGCAGGAGAAGAGCCTGAGCAGCAAGGAGCTGGGCCTGGGCTCCGATGGTGGCCTGGTGACCGCGGCCAATCTTAACTTGGACACCACCAAGAGCGAGAAGGAGCTCTCGGACACTGAGTATGCCGAGGCCACAGTAAGGTGGGTATACTAAATATATTTTCCCCTTTCAGAATAGACTCTAAACTAATTTTGGTCTTTGTTTTTTGTTGTGCAGCAGCACCAAGGTGCAGACCGTGCTGCCCACGGTCGACGATGATGCTGTGCAGCGGGCGGTAGAGGATGTGGCCGCTGCCGTTGCCCACCAGGAGGCCGAGCCGCAGGTGCAACACTTCATGACCCATGACCTGGGCCACCGCGAATCGGTATTTGATTTTGGGAATTTTTTTATAATTGTGGAAATTTTATTTATATATTTTTTTAAATTTTTACAGAGCTTCTCGCTGCGCCGTGAATTCGCGCAGCATGCGCACGCGGCCAAGGAGGGTCGCAATGTCTACTTTACGCTCTCCTTTGCCGGCATCGCCCTCATGGCGGCCGTCTTTGTGGGCGTGGCCGTGGCCAAGTGGCGGACATCACGCTCGCCGCATGCCCAGGGCTTCATTGAGGTCGATCAGGTGAGAATTTGGTATCAAAGATACAGAAAGAGAAGGGATGTAGATCACACACACAAAATTTAGCTAAGAATTCCCAACTGGTTCTATACTTTTTCGTGATATATTTCCCCATCTATCTTTCTCTCTCTTATATTCAATATTCTTTAATAATGTGTCGCTTTTTTGACCATCTAGAACGTGACCACACACCATCCCATCGTGCAGGAGGAGAAGATCGTGCCCAATATGCAGATCAATGGGTACGAGAATCCGACCTACAAATATTTCGAGGTGAAAGAGTAAGCGGGACAGCTGCTATAACGGCGCAGCTGTGCAAACAAGAGGCACACACATCAAAGACAGCAGCGGCGTAAAAAATAAAAATAAAAACAAAAAACCAAACAACAATTTCAAAATGGAATCTTAAGCATAATATTAAAAAACAAAAAAACCAAATAAGCAGCAGAGAGAAGAGGTGGAAGCAGAAGAGAAATGATTTTTTTTTTTTCGTCAAACAAACAAAAAGGAGCGCAGTTCCAATAAGAATGAATAGAGAGAAGCAGGTGAAGAAGCAAAAGAAGATGCACGGAGAACGAAGAGAATGGAGAATCCGAGAAAGGGGTAGAAAGAAGGCAGATAAATTCAATGAATGGTAATATATCTATATATTAAATTAAAGCAAGCAAGCAGAAAGGCAAAGAATATAAAGCAAGCAATTAAATTTAAGTATTTGAATGTTTAACAAAAAATGCAGTAAAAACATCCTCTCTAGCTCTCTGTCTCTCTTAATCTTACTTTCACTCTCTCGCCCTCACTTTTGCTCTCTCGCTCTGTCTCACTTGGCCAGTCTGTACCTTTCCCACACACACACACACTTGGCACTTTGTTGTTATTGTTGGGAATGAAGAAGCAAAAAGAAAGGCAAGAAGAATTAGAAGGGAGATGCAGGAGGAGGAGGAGGAGAAAGTGAAGGAGGTGGAGAAGAATGAGAGAGAGAGAAGCAGAAGCAAAACGCAAAACAAAAGATATTCCTAGTAAATAAATTTGTCAACACACACACACACACAATACATGCATCACTCATGACTCACACATACACATGACTAGCACATGACTTACACATGACCTACACATGACCCAGGACACCACATGCAGCTTCGTAGCATACTTTTGAGCGTTGCTTGCAAGCCGATCGCAATAAAATTTTAGAGCCGCGCTAAGAAAGCTGAAAGCAAGTAAAAAACACACACACTTACACTCACTAAGACACACACACACAAGTGAACCTAAGAGCTACCTACGCGTACTAATCTCTATATATGAACGTGCATATATGCATATATGTATATGTATAACTCTTTCTAAACATTACATACACACACACACACACGCCATATACCACACACCCATAAATGCAAAAGCAAAAGCAAAACCACAAGCCCAACAAATTATATATACACAATATATATACATATATATATATACACAATATATATTTAAAGCAAAGCAAGAAGAAATGTCCATAAATGTATTTATGTATCTATACACGAGCAAAAAAAAATAAAAATAAAAAACACAACCCGTAAGGAAGAAAACAAAAAAAATAAGAGGAGATTTGCCAGCAGCCATTATAAAGCAAAAGCAAGAGAATTTCTGTAAACGTAACGTGATGTAACGTAAACGTAAACCGCAACGTAACGTGATGTAACGTAAACGTAGACCGCAACGTAACGTGATGTAACGTCATCGTAAAGGTAAACGTAAACGTAACGGTAACGATGCTTGGCAGTCTAATGAAATTAATAAATAAAATCAGCTACGTAAACAGAAACAATGCAAAACGCTAAGCTAATTGCAGACAGAAACAAAAACAAAAAACAAAATAAATAATTTGCAAAAAGGCAAAAATAAGAAAAAATGCAAATTGAGACATGAATGAGAAGAACTTTTAGAACTTTTTCTGCATATTTTGTGTGTAAGTCGATGGCAAAAAAAAAATGTTTATTCTCTTTTTTATTTGTTACATGTTTCACTCAAAGGCCAGCACAAAACACTATACCCACACATACACACAACACACACACACCAGAGGAGTCCTTGAGCAGGCGAAAAGCAAGAAAATTGCATTTTTATTTTCACTTTCCAAGCTTTTCTGCAATTAAACTGTTTAAATAATTGCCTGACTTAGGCGAAATCTGATAAGGGTTACCCAAACGGAGGCGGAATCGAAACCCAGACCGGACTCCGGGACGATGACGGAGACCGACACACCACCTACTAGTAGAGTGCCGAAGTGGCGAAGAGGCCCCCCAAAGATAAACCCCATTTCGAAATGGCTAGTTTCATTTCTCAACTCGATTGCTTGGCAAATATTTGGCCTGCTTTGTTCGAGCAGCAAGATACTGTTACTCAATCAAGCCAAATATAATCGAAATGCTATTCCCCCTTCAATCAGACGACGATTGGACGCCCTTTTCGCTCGATCAAGTTCGATTTAAATTGCATTCAACCAAGGGAAAAGTCTATCAAAGTCTTGCAGAAATTTTATTTGAAATTAAAACTAAAAGCTTAAAATTAAAAAAAAATATCAGAAAAGCTGAAATGAAAATTAAGATGGAACTGAAAGTAAACAAAAAACTATATCAAACGCTGAATCATTTTGTCAACTGTTGAAATCGATAACGATAACGATGGAAATTTGGAGCTCAGATTGAAATTGAAACTGATATTGAAAGGTGGTTTGAAACAGGCGCTACAACCTGGTTAATGGAGATTGAAAATGAGGGGTTGCCTTGTGCGATTCGAATATTAAATCGGAAATTGAGATTTTGAATGAGATTTGAGATGCGAATTGAACAATAAATGAAAATGCAATTAAAGCGTAGCAACAAAGGTTCTAATTGAAACTGATATTGAAGTTGTAATTGAAGTTGAAGCTTAAAGCCACTGCGATTGAAAGCCATTCATCGAAATCGAAAGAACCGAGCTAGAAACTGAGATTGAAACAAAGTTAGAAATTGAACTCAAAATTGAGGAGTTTTAACTGAAACAGAAAATTTGATTCAAATTTAAAAAAAACTCTTGAGATTGAGGCTAAAATTGAAGCTGGATGAAACTGAAAATGGGACTGGAATTCTAGTTGAAACTATTATTGCAATTGAAGGTGAAGATGAAAATGAAAATACTTTTTAAAAACAACTTACCCTTCAGTTGCAAAATTCAGAGTCAATTAGGATCACAGCCTTAGATTTGGTTTCTGAGCATCTGGATTAGTGACGATTTCATTTTTGAATTTATTTTAGATTTTTCGTTTCAATTGAAACCTTTTACTTTGGGTCCAATTTTTGGCGGTGCTTTAGTCTCAGTTTCTGGACTCAGTTTGTGCTTTAATATTCTCCTTGAATTCCATTTTTGATGTGAGTTTCAATTGAAATTTTACCATTTTAAACTCGAAACTTCAAGTTTAGTGCCCGTTTTATTGATCAATCAATATCCAAGTTGATTTTTAGAGCTCTATGGATATCAAAAGAATTTCTTATCTGTGTTTTTTTTTTCGGAAACCAAGAATCCGTTCTTCGAGGCAAGCTCACGGCGCTCCCCGCAAACACACACAGACACTGACAGACGACACACAACATTATATAATGCTAAATGTATTACGACAAACAATATATATACATCTCTATATATATACATATATATATATATATACAAACACATATATATTTCAACAGAACAACAAAACAAACAAAAGGCGAATCAACTACACAAAACAAGTAAATAAGAAGAAAAAAATCTAACTAGTCAAAGCTTGAATATTTTTTAATTTATTCATTAATACAACAAGAACAACAACAACAACAAGAAAGCAAAAAAACAAAAATGAAAAAGTATACATATATATAAAAACAAAAACAAGAAAAAAACAATTGATATTTACACTTAGTGAAGCAAAAAAAAAAACAAAACCAAAAAACAAAAAAAGCGGAAAGTAAAAGCAAAAAAAAAACAAACAAAAACAAAAAAATGATGCAAATGTGTAAGAAATAAACCCCGTCCTGCATAAATAAAATTAAATAAAATAATAAAAATAAATGAAAAACACAAAAGAATATCATAAAACAAAAAAGATTTACACAAAGATTAAAAAAAAAAAGAAAATAAGGAAAAGAAAGGAGAAAGCAGCAACAAGAAAATTATAAATGAAATCGCATGTGTTTTTGTCGTAGTCTCATCATTGAAAAAACAAAAGAAAAGAAAGCAAAACAAACAAAACACAAAAACAAAACCACAACAAACAAAAAAGCTAAAAAAAAAAAAAAAAGCAACCAAAAAAAATGCAAGTAAATCGTAACGAGAGAAAAGCAGCAACAATTTGTGTAATTCTTTTTGTCAAACTATGATTTTTGCATAAAAAAAACGAGAGGCGACGATATATAGACGAGGGCCGACGGCGATCGGAGGAGGAGAACTCTCCTTCCTCGCGCATAAATTTAAATATTAAATGTACTCAAAGACAATTGTAATTGCAACAATAATTGTACGCTATATATACTATTATTAATGTGGAAAAGATTTCAGCAGCATTCGGCATTTGGTCACTCCGACGAGCCCCAGGATCAAGATCCTTGATCCCCGATTATCTTGGGATCAGTCTTCGTTTGTTGGGCGTAAGGTCGAAGGTCGTTTCGGGAAGCTTGGGCGCATATATAACCAATGGAGTACCCACTCTCTGTCGGGCCAATGACAGCCGGGAAAAAAAATTGTATAATGTTTCACACACACACAACAACAACAAAAACAAAAAAAAAAAAAAAAAAAAAAAAAAAGAAAACAAAAAAAAAAGAAAGAAAACCCCAAAACATAAAACATAAGAATGCAAAAGGAAACAAACAACAACAAAAGAAAACAAAAACAAAAACAATTTTCAATGTATAATCATATAATTTGATTTTGAATTTTTGTGTTCTTTTTCGAAATATTTTGCATAAATAAAATAAAATAACAGAAAAACAAAAAAAAAAACCAAAAAAAAACTTAAAGCAGGATGCAAAAATTTCAAATTGAATGAATCATCCTCAAGCACGTGGAGTACGGCAGGTGGGGCAGGTCCAGATAACCTCAAGATTACTATGATTTATTTGGACGAACTCCCAGCCGGCCGATCGGTCATATTTCATTTCATCGATAACCCAAAACCAAACGCAACCTAATCAATTTTCATTGCCGTTTTGGTATTTGGATTAGCATCGATAATAATCGATAATGAGGCTTGGGTTTGGATTTAGAGTGGCTTTTTTTTTGGAATTCCTTTTTAGGTTTTTGGTAAGTAAAAAGGGTAGATAATTTTCGTAGAATTATTATAGATGAATATATCCTTCAAAAGGTAAGTAAAAAATGTATTATTATTATTTTAGATAACTATTTCTTTTAATAACTATATATATCGAAACTTCTATCGATATTTTAAGGCTGCAATCGATATTCTGTTTAATATTTTTGTCTAAGGAAGGGATTAATTGAGAGAAGCTATTTTGTAAGCCATTTGTTATCGAATATCGGTATTGAATATAAATCTAAAGCAAAAGTCTTTTCGATATTTAAGCTACCAATCGATATTCTGTTAAAAGTATATGCCTAATGCAATCGAAATAAAAATCAAAGAAGGAACTGATTAACTAAGAGAAGCTATTGGGAAAGACCATATGCAGCTGAGAAATCAGTTTTGAATTAGTTTTTAATGTATAAAAAATATTATATATCATTAGTAAATCTTTTAAAAACTCTTTAAAAGCATAAAAGCATATAGCCAAAAATCCTCAACTAGCCCCCAAATGCCTTAGAGTAAACGGAGTAAATATACAAAAATAAATGTTATAAACCATTCAACACCCCCTTAGAGGTCCCACACATCGAGGGACAACATCCACTCAATGGGCTCGACTTCTAAGCCGCAGATACTGAGATACACGCCCCGAGGGG